TAATTCATATGGCGCATGTGGCGACATCTACGAGTTAACTCAAATCCTCTCACACATTATTGTTTACCCTTACAAAAACTATAAGTCAACTATGAGTCATTATGTAGAAAAGTAGCTGATCTATTAACAAAAATCTATTTTATTTTTTTCGCTTTAACATCCTGTATCTCAGTAAGGAGCAGACTAAGACCCATTATTGTTAATGAAAATATTATTATTTTGGCCTCCTGAACGTACATTTACAATTTGGCCCATTACTTATGAATCACCCTGTATATCTACAAAAAGCGAATAGCCCTATTTCTTATTATTATCTTCTAATTGATGTATAGCAAGTTTTTCATTCATTTTACCAATCTGCACAGCCTTAGATCTACTTACTGCATCACGCGATTGACGCGACAAATTATGACGTCATTAGTTTTTTTGTTATCTCCACTCTTTACCATAGATTCCCACTGTCAAGTTAGCACTACCTAAAAAATACAATACTACAAATATTGTTTATAAAAAAGGACGTCGCAAATTTGTAACCAACTTGACAGCGGTTGGTTTAGCCGCCGCAAAAATTCGTCGTTTAGGTAGTTCTTAGTCAGAGAAAACGATTGTGCAAACATATGATCACACCGTTGGAAAGAGCAGGAAATTTCCCATAAGCTGAATATAATTGTAGAGTTTTCTCCCTGTCAAATAGGAAAGTTATTAGTGTAAGAAATATTTGGTAGGAGCTTCTTCAGGAGCGTTTTTTACAGATGCCGACAGATATTGGCGGATGAAAACTCGGAATAAGATAGTTTCGTTTGATAAAGGACTCCATTGTTGACTTCGGTAAGTAATGTTGAATATAAAAAAATTGAAAATTCTGAAAAATGAAATTTATTTGTTCTCAACTACCGGTTTCGGAAAAAGTTTCCGTCATCAGGTTGTTGCTACAAAACATGAGTAAAAATGTTTTTAATTTACAAAAACACAAACATGAGATAATTATTTACTGTCAATTAATAGCGGCCGCGTGGTATAATAATTTCGGATGTGAANAAGAATAAAATTTATTTGTTCTCAACTACCGGTTTCGGAAAAAGTTTCCGTCATCAAAACATGAGTAAAAATGTTTTTAATTTACAAAAACACAAACATGAGATAATTATTTACTGTCAATTAATAGCGGCCGCGTGGTATAATAATTTCGGATGTGAAAATTTTCCACTTTTGAATTTCTCCCAGCATTGTTAAATTTACAAGAAATTGTTACGAGAAACTTACACGTTAAAATTATGTTAAAAATTAAAAAATCGAACAAGATCACAAAAATATCCTATATCTACAACTGTCGAAAAGGAACTGGTATGTGCAACATTTGGGTTATTCTAAGATGGAAGATTTTCGGAAACAGGTTTAGGTGGTGAATTTACACTTATAAAAGGCATAAACAAACGGTAAGGATTTATATCCGTATAGCTTCATTTATCAATAATTCTTTGTTATTATTATTATATTTAGATATTTCCATTTCTTCATATAAATCCAATTTTTAAGATTTAAGAAGCTGTCTAATAAGTCTTCTTGAATCTTTGTTGAACTTATGACCTGTCTCAGACGTGTGTTTAAATACAGAAGAGGTTTCTTTTGATATGTGTTCTTTGATTCTAATGTTGAGGTTACGTCCCGTCTGGCCTATGTATACTTTTTCACAACTGCTACAATTTACTATGTATAAACCTTTAAATCTTTTGTTTTTCTTCTATCTTTTGTTTGGAGTTGATAATTAGATTGTATAGTTTTAAGTTACTTCTGTATGCTAATTTTATATCATATCTCTGTAGTATTTTTTCAATTTTATTGAACGAATTGTGATAATTTGTTGTTAGACAGTATGCGTCGTTCTTATATGCGGGATATATGTATTTCATTATATTACGTTTCTAAATCTTGTTGTAAACATCCTGTACAAAAGCAACGTTATAACCATTATTGAGACCCAGCTTTATTATGTAATTTATTTCTTTGTTGAAATTTAGTTCATTCATAGGTGTATTGATGGCTCTATCTATGATATATCTAAAAACTGCATCTTTATGATTCTTGTTGTTGTAAGAATTTTTCAGAATGATGACATCGGTTGTGGTTGGTTTGTGGTATACATTAAAATCTCTTTTCTAAAGGTTGATGTTTTTTAGTAAAACTATGTCTAGAAAATGAATAGCATTATTAGATTCTTTCTCAATTGTAAACTTTAATTCACTAATGTTGTTTAAAATGTTGTAAATAGCTATAATGTTTGACTTTAGGCCTTCATGTATTATTAAGATGTCATCAACGTATCGACCATAGTATTTGATGTTTTTAGTAAACATGTTATATTTTTCTGAGAATAATTGTTTTTCTATTGAATCTACATATATGTCGGCCAGTAACCCTGATCATGAAGATTCCATGGGCAGACCATTGTTCATTCTATAAGTTTTATTGTTAAATATAAAAAAGTATTGTTTTGTTATCTGTTCCAACATTAATTGTATGTTTTTGATGTCATGTTCTGTAAGAAATTCTAGCTCTGAATATTTATTTAGGAGGAGATGTTTAGTTATATTGAGTGTTTCTGTAATTGGTACATTTGAGTACAGATTTATGTCAAATGATATTAATTGGGTTTTATTATTAATTTAGATATCTTTAATGCTGTTTATTAATTGTTGGGAGTTTTTTATTGAATATTTTGATTCGAATTTAAAACTATTTTGAATTATGTTGTGTATAGATTTTCCGATGTTTTGTGTTGGTGTGTTAATATTACTAATGATGGGTCTAAAGAGTAGAATCAAGAACACATATCAAAAGAAACCTCTTCTGTATTTAAACAGACGTCTGAGATAGGTCATAAGTTCAACATAGATTCAATAAGACTTATTAGACAGCTTCCAAAATCTAATCTATCTAAATATAATAATAATAACAAAGACTTATTGATAAATGAAGCTATACGGATATAAATCCTTACCGTTTGTTTATGCCTTTTATATGTGTAAATTCACCACCTAAACCTGTTTCCGAAAATCTTCCATCTTACAATTAGAATAACCCAAATGTTGCACATACCAGTTCCTTTTCGACAGTTGTAGATATAGGATATTTTTGTGATCTTGTAATTTTTAACATAATTTTAACGTGTAAGTTTATCGTATTAATTTCTTGTAAATTTAACAATGCTGGGAGAAATTCAAAACTGGAAAATTTTCACATCCGAAATTATTATACCACGCGGCCGCTATTAATTGACGGTAAATAATTATCTCATGTTTGTGTTTTTGTAAATAAAAAAAAATTTTACTCATGTTTTGTAGCAACAACCTGATGACGGAAACTTTTTCCGAAACCGGTAGTTGAGAACAAATAAGATAGTCCAAGGGCAGCTCTTTTCGAATGTGTAAACCGTTTGTTGAATTTCCATCTGATAACGGCTGCACAAGGCCGTGAAGTTTGATAATTTTGAGGTAATTTGAATGCAGTGCGCATTTCTTTTTTTTTTGCTCTCATTATCAACATATCGGCGGAAACTCGGTTTAAGATAGAAAAAAGACCAAGCTTTCCAACCGTGTGCTTAGCTTTTCGCTATCTTTCTAGATAACGAAGATATGGGCCCGACAAATATGTGGAAATATAAGTTTGTTGCTGGTCGGTTTGTTGCTATCGTCTCGCCGGTTTAAAATTATTTATTCAGATTAAAGTGGAAATTAAAATCCCCAATTAATCCATCATAGCGAGGTTTTACTGTACTGTAAATTCAAAAATTGGTAATTTTTAACACAATACTAAAAAAGGTTTATTTTTTTTTATAATTACTTATTTTATTATTAAAAAAAAGACATAAAAAGGTTACCGGTAATTGTACAAGTGACGCATACAAATAACATGTAGATACGCATTTTCGTCGCGCGATATCGATGCTTCCTTCGTTAGCTAACGGGACAAAAACGAGTTTTATATTTGCCTTTCCCTTCCTACCTGCGCCAAAGTAAGTCATACACGCGAGAGAATCGAAAATATCCAGCTGTAAACATCGATCCTCGCCTTACGCAATTTAATAAAACGTTTCTAGAGAATGAACTGATGTGAGTAATAGTTTTATAAGTAGTATTATTTGAATCGTGGAAAACTAATAAATAAATGGCAAGCACTGACGACATAAAGTAAGTAACAGTATTATTTGTAGATGTAATTATTTACACCTTCTTTCACTATTTTATTGTCATATTTATTTGTAATCTTTTTTGTATGTATAATCTTAGATAACAAATGATTAGATTAATTTTTTTACAAAACTTGTTCCTTATTTAAATACGTTTCATATATTTTTTTTAGAGAATTTGCCGTCGTTGAATTTCCTGAAGAGGAAATCAATGGAACGATGCCATTGGCGATAATATCGAATGCTTGGTTGGTAGAGGAAAACATGGATATGATGTGTTGGTGGCCTTCATATATCAAGTCGGATTCAGAGCGTGAAAAATTGATTGTAAATAGGACACCGCTGGATAAATCCAAGTGCGATAAATGTTTAGTTAACGTCATTTATAGTTCAAGTAAAAAAACAAGAACTTTTTTTTTGGAATTTACATTATTTTTTTAGAAAATAAAGCATTTTATTTTTATTTTAGGTCACTACACGAATGCCCTTACAAAACTTAATTTTTTATCGAAACGTACAAACGTTCCACTTATTTAAACAAAGTAGAAAGTTACCTTGAACAACAAAAACCTTAGATTGGATTTATTCACCTTCACCAGTTTGAAAAAATGACCTCAAGACGTCTTTTCAAAGATATTTTATGGGAAATAAAATAAATATTGTGATATTTATATTGTATATGTTTCATTTTTTGTATAAATAAAGTTTTTTGTGTGAAATTATCGAATATACAGGTTCCCATTGCGTATGGCATATAGTATAGTCTTGGTAAATACCTATCGACTTTATAACAAAACTTTTTATATAAAAGTTGTTTAACATTTTATTTTCCATAATAAGACAGCATTCAATTGTGTTTAGTTGTTTTCAGAAAACAAATGAGTAATGAATAACACTTGAATTTTTTTAACCCCTTTTAATATGACTTTTGGCTAATGCAGGAAATTGCGTGTAATTAATGTAATTGTTCATTTGGCTTCAAAATGTATGTATGCAAAGTTTCATTTTCTTTATCTTTTAATATTTAGAAAAAAGGGCCTTGTAACGTAATTGTTTTATTCAATAGGTTCGTTCCAACCGCATATATCTATGTGGCAAACTACTGGCACTATTTCTCTGAAAATTTGCATACAGCGTTTATCCGAGGTGCTCGTTTCAGCTAAAATATTTTCAGTGTTCTCCAACTTCCGGTTACACCGGAAATGGACCCCAACTTCGTTATTTTAAATGGAATGTATCAATTTTTATTGAATTTTCAAGATCCCCACTAAATTTTAATATAATTTGATATAAGTCATCATATGTCTAGAGTGGATTATTGGAGTGGACCATTTATGGATTATTTCAGTTTTTTCGAAAATTATGGCAGATGCAACCCTTCACAATAAAAGTAATTTTTCGAAATTACACTCGAGTCCGGCCAAATATTCTCAGGGTTTGCACAGAGAGGACCCATGGTTTACATAACGCTTGAAAAGTTTTTTAAAAAATTATATAGATTGGTCAGAAATTTTCCCCAAATTTCCCTATCTCGAAAAGTCGAAAACTTCATTTTTTTAAATGGCAACCCTAATTTGGGGGTTGCTTTTCAAGTATTATGTAAGCTATGGGTCGTCTCTGTGCAAACTTTGGGAATATTTGGCCGGACTCGAGTGTAATTTCGAAAAATTATTTTTATTGTGAATGGTTGTATCTGCCCAAATTTTCGAAATGACTGAAATAATTGAAAAATGATGTACTCTAGACATATGATGACTTTATCAAATTGTATTAAAATTTGGCGGTATAACTGCAAGTTGGAGAAATCTGAAAATATTTTAGCTGAAACGAGCACTTCGGGTAAACCCGTATGCAAATTTTCACAAAAATTGTGCCAGTAGTTTGCCATATACATATAAGACTCAGCTCGTCGTGACAGACCCTGTACATTTGGATTTGGATTATTATCTACTCTTTTACATGTTTCTGGTGTTTTGTTTAACAAATTTTTAAGAACTTTTATTTCATATGTATGTTTTATGATAAGTTTTATAGACAAATTAATCAAAAAAGTGTAAAAACATGCATATTTTTATTTCATTTTTCTAGTAAGAATTATTACGTTTTTTTACGTTTGTAATTAATGCTACTTTAGTTCATTATTGTTAAAAAAATGAGTAAATGGATTTCGTTTGAAATGGTAAATTGTGGTTGCAGCGCTAACTATCGGCAGGGTTGGATATAAAACGTACATAGAAATTTCAAACCGTTCTAACAGCGTTGACGAAATGTACTTACGCGTACAAGAAGGTGTCCACGGACGCGTACACGACGAGTCAAATTTGTGCGGTTGGAACGAACCTACTATGTTTACTGGAGTGCGTGCTTTGAGCTAGAAAACGAACCGGCCTCCCCCACCCCATAACGGCAAAAAGCTTCAACGTAACATACGGAAAAAAAATTATATATTTTTTTTTTTCCTAACTATAATAACTTAAATATGTATTATTTCGTATTTTTCATCATTATTGAATAACATTATTTGAATTACTTAGTAAATATTGAATAAATTCATGCTGAATTATATCCATTAGTTAGTACTATTTGTATTTCTTACCGTTATGGGGTGGGGGAACATGCTGGCGAATCGGACCGTTTTCTCGACCAAGCGAATGTCGTGAGCACGTACTCTAGTAAATTATATGTATCTCGATGGCACACACATATCGATTTCGAAACAACTTGTATTCATATTGTATAGAATAATACCGGGAAATAATTCAAATTTTTAAAACAATGTAATTGAATTACTTCAATATACAGTGTGTTAATTAATTATCGTACCCGACGTCATCATTGCAAGTATACAACCAATATCACAATATTGGTATTTCAATACGCGATTTGCGTATGATGCGTATTGCAGTGTGATATTGGTTGCATACTTACAATGATGACGTCGCGTACGATAATTAATTAACACACTGTATTTAGTATAGTATATAATTAACTGCGGTAGTAAAACAGAAAATAATTTAACTTAATTTTTGATATAAATTCACTTATCATAAAATAATTGAGAGAAACTAAAGTAATAATTGATTTGTGTTATACTAGGGAAGACACTTCAACTCTCACTAAAGTTGCGCGCGCAACGTAAATTCCTAAAGACCTCAACTAAACTATCGACTGTGTATGCGCTTCAATATGAAGCTGTGGCATTATCGCAGTTGTACGATAGTTGCACAACTTTTTAATCATACCCTTAGGGTAGGCACACACGGTCGATTTTTAGTCGGCCGATAGTTTAGTCGATGGACATAAATGTATTAAGTTTAATGTAGCTGCGCACACAACACAACTGCAGATCAACTCGATTTTTTAATCAAAAGGAGTCGATGTGCACTTGTGATTATAAAGTTGTGCAACTATCGTACAACTGCAATAATGCCACAGTTTCATATTGAAGCGCACACACAGTCGATAGTTTAGTTGAGGTCTTTAGGAACTTAGGTTGCGCGCGCAACCTCAAAGTCAAGTTTACTGAGAGTTGAAGTGTCTTCTCTAGTATAACATAAATCAAGTTTCCCTCAATTATTTTATGATAAGTGAATTTATATCAAAAATTAAGTTAAATTATTTTCCGTTTTGCTACCGCAGTTAATTATATACTACACTAAATACAGTGTGTCAATACGCATCATACGCAAATCGTGTATTGCAATACCAATATTGTGATAATGGTTGCATATTCAATGATGACGTCGGGTACGATAATTAATTACCACACTGTATATTAAAGTAATTCAATTACATTATTTTAAAAACTTGAATTATTTCCAGGTATTATTCAATATTTAATACAATATAAATACAAGTTGTTTCGAAATCGATATGTGTGTGCATACAACACGATTTATGAACAACTATAGTAGAAACCACGAGAGCTGACAGTGACAGATCGCTTAAAAATGGTATGAATCAAGATATGGACGTACGACTTAGATTATTTCACCACATACATTTAAATGTAGGTTATGTTAGTAATGGAGGTTATATGTCAAAGATTTTCAAAAATATTATTTAATGATTTTCCCTTCAAAGAAAACATTTTCGGCTTGTGAAAACACTGACAGATTCATAACAACGCTCACAAGACGTTTCGATTTGAGGTTATAATTATAGAGTTACATCCCTTAGAAGAACAGACGTACTTTTTCGACGTGGCCATTTGAATTGTACAGCAGACATATTAAACTAATGCTATCTCTTTCTAACACACATTACTCTCTAGCGGTTTGTGAACTACGTATGGCATTTGTAAGAGCGGAAAATGATTATTTACTGCCAGCTCTCGTGGCGTCTACTATAAACAGTTTAGTCGGTTATAAATTGATAATGCATCGCGATTTCAAACCAATCCAACTAAACTGTTTCGTCGATGAATAATCGACCGTGTGTGCCTACCCTTAGAGACATCTTCATGAGCGATATTCCTGTATATTTGAAAAGATGGCTTTCAATCAATGCGTGCTTCCTCCTTTGGTTATGGCATACGGTTCCGAAACTTTAACTAATAATATACGAGTCGAGGGAGATCCTAAAGGGTCTTCAGCTGCTTCTAAACTTTAGCATTACTGTCTATGATGCATGTTTGATTTCCATGATGCTACTCATACCAGCAATAAATTAGAGATCCAAGGCCAACTCAATATTTGCAATAGAGATTATGCATATTTTGTAATTGATATAGACAACACGAAACCGTTATGTTTACAAAAAATTGAGAGTTAACGCATAGCTTTTGAAATAATAAGATATTTTTGTGGTGCCATCTAGTAGAGAACCGATGAACTTTTAAAATCAACTTGACTACACTAAATCCCTAGATTTGGTGTCAAAAATGCTCAAAACTTAAACTTCGGTGAATTCGTCTTAAATACAATTTATTTATATTGAACCGTTCAGTATATTATGTATTATAATCCATATACGAAGGGAAACCATTCACCCAAATTTATCATTAAAGTTTCAATTTGGAGAAATATCACTTTTAAGTTTGTCACTAAACGACATTTTCTTTATTACTTTTCAATTTTATAAAACGTTGAATAGTTTCCCTCGGTTGACCCCACAGGAATACCCCATGAAAATTATTCCAATAAATCAAAAAGGTAAAATAGAGAATTCACCGAAGTTAATTTTCAAGGTTGGTAGACAGGGCTAAATTCCATCCTTAAAAGGAGATACTAGTAAAAAGAGTACCTAGACTTAAATAAAGTTTTAGAATTAAATTCTACATGAAATGAAGTACCGTAAGTGAAGTGTAAATTCTGTCTACAAAAACCGTTTACATACCATAAAAGAATTGGAAGATGCAATACGACAGCAACTTTATGTATAGAAAATAATGGTCAACATTTAGAATTTTTCTTATAATAAATAAAACTTGTAAACCTTTGTTTTTATAATAAAATAAAAGATCTTTTTTTGATTTATGAAATAAATTAATTACAAAAGAATAGTTTAAAGGGTTTTCTTTTTATTAATTAATCCTTTTTAATTATTTTCATCATAATTTAAATTTACATCCATCAATCTAACTCCAGAGAGAATTTATTTCGAATCTTGTTTAACGAGAGTAACATTTTTAATTTTGTGAGTTTTTAACGTTGTTTACTAAACTAAAAGTTTCCTCCTATTTCTCCACCACTATTTAAAACAAGTAGAAGTGGAACGAGGGTGTGACTGGTGTAACGAGGGCAGTAA